GAGGTTGCGGTGAGCCGAGATTGCGCCATTGCACTCCAGCCTGGGTAACAAGAGCGAAACTCCGTCCCAAAAAAAAGAAAAAAGAAAAAAGAAAGGCCAGAGCAGAAAGCAGTATGAGGTACATATCACCACCACCACCCCAACTGTGATTTAATTGGTTTGGAGTAGAGCTTATATCTTACTTTTTTAGAGCTCCCCACATGATTTGAATGTGCTACCAGAGTTGAGCACCACTAGACAAGGTGCTTTCTCAGTCCTCATTAGACCAGCTCAGTTTTCAGTGTTTTCTGGCTCTTGTGGCCCCATAGGATTCTGCCTGCCAGATGCAGGAAGGATCTGTTTATTTAACAGGGTCTTTTCCCTAAAAGCAAACCTAGCTACCATATGATTCCTCTCACTGGTATAAGTGCTATCAGAGTGACACTCTAAATGTTATACCTAGGAGCCTGGAGAACGAAAGGAGAAGACTCGATCTTTCCAGTATTTACCCAAATTTGCAGCAACACCCTGAGGCAGATTTTGAGCACAGCAACTTAGCCAGCCTACTCAACAGAAAACCTTGACCCCAAAGACAATAGCATTCCCAAGTTGCTGGAAGTTGGGATACCTAGCTATTTAGTCTCACTGTCTTAAATCACAAAAATTGAGAACTAAAAAGGAGGTTAGCCAGGCACAGTGGCTCCTGCCTGTAATCCCAGCATTTTAGGAGGCTGAGGAGGGTGGATCACTCGAGGAGTTTGAAACCAGCCTGACCAACATGGAGAAACCCTGTCTCTACTAAAAATACAAAAAATTAGCTAGATGTGGTGGCATGGGTCTGTAGTTCCAGCTACTCTGAAGGCTGAGGCAGGAGAATTGCTTGAAGCTGGCCGGCGGGAGTTGCAGTGAGCCAAGATTGCACCATTGCACTCCAAACTGGACAACAGAGCGAAACTCCATCTCAAAAGTAATTTAAAAAATAATAATAATAAGTAAAAAGGAGGTGAACTTCTAGATTCTGGGACTGAATTTAGAGACAACAAACAAAGCTCATATGGAACCAGGGATTCTCCTAAGGAATGCAGAGACCATCTATTGAAAGATGGAAAGTTAGGGCCGGGCGCGGTGGCTCAAGCCTGTAATCCCAGCACTTTGGGAGGCCGAGGCGGGTGGATCACGAGGTCAAGAGATCGAGACCATCCTGGTCAAAATGGTGAAACCCCGTCTCT